TTGGTTATTTGTAAAATTAACTTATTTATCTTAGGTAAATCTTTTCAAAGTGACTCCATTTTGATTAGGACAACTTTCACATATTCATTAAATCAATCAATATCTTCTGGAGCCTATGAACTATGTCAGGGCAGACAAGCAGCAGTGAACAAAATCAGGCAGTCTGCCCTCCTTGGGCTGATAGCCATTAATGACAGGTAGTTAAACCTTGAATAGTAAACACTAGAATAGTAAAAAGGTGCTGAGTGAACCAGGTGCAGGGGGCTCACTCCTGTAATCCTAGCTACTCAAGAGGCTGAGATCTGAGGATTGCGATTCAAAACCAGGCTAGGCAGGAAAGTCTGTGAGACTCTTATCTCCAATTAACCACCAGAAAACCAGAGGCGGCACTGTAGCTCAAGTGGTAGAGTGCTCGCCTTGAGCTGAAGAGCTCAGGGACAGCGCCCAGGCCCCAGAGTCCAAGCCCCATGACCAACAACAACAACAACAACAACAACAACAAAAGTTTTGAGTGAGGGAAGGAGACCAAATAGAGTCCTAAAGGTCTAAACCAGGAGAGTTATTAGCTCATGTGCTTTACCCCAGCTTCTAGGGGTCAGCAGGCATAAGACCCATTGGGGCATGGGTGTGCCCTCCCCTAAGCTGCAGGTGACCTTGGAGCCTGCTTTGGCTCAGTGACTTGCTTGAGGGCCCCTGTGGCTGAGGGGGTAATGCAAGTCCATTTGTCAAAGCCTGCTGCGTTTGATCCCATCAAAGCTGTGTGAGCTGTCTTCACAGGACTGGGACATTAAGCCCAGAAGAAGATTTGTGTGTCTCATCTGAGTAACGAGCCGTGAAATCGACATTATAAGTTTTAATTGTTATTAATGCCTTGCAGGGGTGGCTGAGTTAATTGTCCCATGAGTCTCCCACATTTACCCTCCCCCCATACACACATTTTCTTTTATTTCCTCTCCTTAATGTCTTGAGTCCTGTAACAGTGGCTTTATTTTCTCCTAAGGGGAGCACTCTGTGGGGTGAGAGCTTAATTCTAAACAGAAAAGATTCAGGCTCCAAGGAAGCTACTTGGAACCTATGGCTGGAAAGTTGGGAGGAAGGTATGAACCTTATGGGTCTCTTGATACTACTGAAATCTGCAGAAGCCTCCTGCCCCTTAAAGTGTTTTGCTGCCTCTAGGCCCTTCCATGAACTAATTAGTTATCCTCATAAAAAAGCTTCAAAGAGGAAAGATTGTGGAAGTGCCCATGTTGTCATTTCTGAGCAATTTTTTTTTGACAGTGAATTGATTTCTGGTTCTTCTGCCTCGCTGCATTATTTCTTTTCTTTTCCTTTTTTCTTCTTTTCTCTTTTCCTTGCTTTTCTTTTCCTTGTCTTTCTTTTGTTTCTGTACTGGGGCTTGAACTCAGGGCCTCATGCTCTTGCTTCGCTTCTTCACTCTGTCACTTGAAGCACACCACCACTTCCAGCCTTTTGCTGCCAATTAGAGATAAGAGTCTTAAAGGTTTTGTTTGCCCAGGCTGGCTTCAAACAATGACCTTCATATCTCAGCCTCCTGATTAGCTAGGATTATGGGCAGGAGCCACCAGCGCCCAGCTTTCCGAATTATTTGTGGCTTTTAAAAAATGCCCATAGACATGACTTCTGTATCTTAAAAAGCTTTATTGCCCCTTTTGGTTTTGCTCTGTTACTTACTCCTGTACTTCTGACCTCTCTCCTCTGACTTCTGGCTTTGTCCCTGTCCACCTCCTTTTCCTTGCCCACCAGTGAAGATATACAGGGCACAGCTGTACAGCCACACCAGAGCCCATGTACTTCCTTTGCTTATAAAGACACCATCTTTGGTTCAACAAGTGAGGTCCTAGCCACTCATGGAGCTGTAATCAGAGTGCACAGTCCCCTAGCTGTGCCTGCTGGCTAGCTCCTACCCTGGCTCACATACATGGGGAACTGCCCTTCCACCTGGGGCAAGAGTTGTGCATTTTGCTTGGATCTCCACAGGGCCTATTGGGTACCAGACTTGCCGTACCTGATCTTTCTCTAACTTTCCCCACTCCTCATTCTCACCCAGAAATAGCTCGAGTTCCTTTTAAGTAACAGCATATCAAGGGTGTATCAGGGGTCGGGGGTTCCTGGTTCTCATTGTCAGGATGAACCTAGCACATCCTTGTCCTGGGTGCTTTGTTGAATAGGATGAATTTTATGGCTAGAGGCTAGGGAGGCCCACTAGAGTACTGCAGGCTTGAGAGGGAAACGGAGGTTGAAATGTAAGCTGGAAGTTTCCAGAAGCACACTGCCCTTGGGAGTGGGGTTGCTGCTCAGTGTGGAGAAGTATGTTGGTATCAGCTCTGAAGTCTCAGCTGTTATGCTCAGGGGCTTAGCCCCATACAGAAAACATCAAGGATTTTCTGGAATCAGCAATGGGGGGGTAGGTTCAGCTTTGTGCTTGGGAAGCCAGCAACCTGGTGAGGTACATTGGTTTGGAGCAGAGGAGGGGCCAGCAGTGGGAGAGGAAAAAGCAGAATATGTCTCCAAGAGACAAGGGAAGAGCAAGTACCACAATCCTCAAATCTTAGCTTCCTGAGTAGCTAGGATTATGGGCATGAGCCACCAGCACAGGGCTTGTATTTAACTTTTAAAGCAGTAATAAGTGAGTTAAAATAGAAGAATGCTACTCTGTCTTTTTAAAATAATTTTAACCTAACAGACTGAACCAGGGTTGCCTAGCCTGCCTGGGCTGGGTAATTCCTCATTCTTGTTGGCGAGATGTAGGATGCTTGGCAGCTTCTCTTGCTAAGGTTCAGTAGATGTTGACAATACCCTACCTCCCAGTTGTAACAATTAAAAGACACCTTCAGACAAAATTGTCCCTGAGAATTGCTGGGCCAGGGGCTGGCCCTGTGGGGCAGTGGGATTCTTTTGGTGGTTCATAGCCAGCAGCCTCTTCCAGTCTTTTTTAAGCACAGTGTTTGTATTGTCAATTACCCCTTTGCCTCTGCTTTCTAAAATTGGAGCCTGTTACAATCTATTGTGCTTACGCTACAAAACTATCCAGAATGAGCATTATTGGACACAAAATGATTTTTTTCCCCTCTCTGAGTTCTGTAATGAAAAACCCTCTGGTTCTGGTATTTAATTGGTCAGTGGTGGCTGTTTGTCAGTCTGCCAGCAGGTCTTTCTTTAACTACTGTCGTTTGACGTTGCTGAGACATAAATGTAGAATGATTGAGTTGCAACATGCTATTAAGTCCTCTACAAAGGGTTTTTGATGTACTGCTGCTTGGGGCTTTTGTTTGCGATTGATTGATTTGAATACTACAGAAACCCTTGGCACAGGCAGCCCTGGTGAGAAGGCTGCTTCTGGTAGGAAAATTGCCAGGTATTGACTGAGGACAATGGTAAGGCTTTTCTCTGACACAGTGTGGAATTTTGGCTAAGTTTACTCAGTTGAGCAGGTGTGGGCCATCTATAATGAGAAAGGAGAAAAAAATCCATGTACCTAAAATGAGGATTGTTAGGAGAAATCCAGAAGTGGACAGCAGCATCAGACTAACCCCAGGTCAAGTGACAGACAGTACTGAGGGACAGACAGTTGCCAAGTATTTTACATACTTATTTTTTGTTGGTGGTAGAGGAGTTTGAATTCAGGGCCTTGAACTTGCCAAGTGGGCACTCTACCTCTCAAACTATACCTCCAACTCTTTTGGCTTTTGTTAATTGTCAAATACAGTCTTGCCTTTATGCCCTGATGCACTTGGACTGCCATCCTCCTATTTACCAATTCTGAGTAACTAGGATGGCACCAGACTCCACCATACACAACCTTTTATTGGTTGAGATGGAGTTTTGAAGACAGTTTGGCTGGGCTGGCCTTGAACCACAATCCTCCCAATCTCTTCCCTATCCCAAATAGGTATGATTGTAAGCATGATCCACTGAACCTGGCCTAGTTGCCAAGAATTCTGTTTGGGTGTCAGAGCTGGTCACTGAAACAAAGATGGCAGATGGAGTTTGGATGGGTTGGCTCACCTTTGGCAGGATGACAAGAGTTTCTCCCAAAGGATTTTAGTTGGCACCTCTGAACTCCTTATTGTATGTAGCAGAGTGGCTTCCATGTTCCTTGGTCAGGCTGTCTTTTGCTTGGACCTGGTAGGCATGTGCCAGTGGTTTAGTCCATGGAGAGAGGGAGGCCTTGTATGACGAATGTAATGTGGGCTGTTATGATCAGTTTAAGGATCCCTGAACATGCGATTTGTTCTAAGGGGTCAGTAGAGAGCTTTTCTGATGAGCATCCTTGAGAAACAAATAATACCAAATGGAGAATGACTCAGCACAGCATGGTAGGTAATAACATTTCAGAACTCAGAATACCTGAGCTCTGAGGTGGATTTACCCTTTGTGGCAGGTTACACTCGTGCTTCAGCTCCCTTATCTCTGAAGGAGGAAAATGTATCACTTTTAACTTTGTGTGTGTGTGTGTGTATATACACACATATATGAGCACCTCTATGTGCCTGTACTGGGGCCTGGGCACTGTTCCTTATTTTTATTTTTTGATCAAGGCTGGTGCTCTACCACTTGATTCCCACCTTCACTTCTGGCTTTTTCATGGTTAATTGGAGATAAGAATCACAGACTTTTCAGTCTGGCCTGGCTTTGAACTATAATCCTCAGGTCTTAGCTTCCTGAGTAGCTAAGATTTACTAGCATGAATCATCAGCCCCTAGCTACTGTCAGCTTTTCAACTCAGAATGAGAGGCCTGCAACCTCAGTTGACCTTCATGGGCACTATTGAGGGGGCTCCAATGGGGAGCCTCTTGTCTTATAGGGTCTGGAAGCTTGCATGTTTCTGTGACAGGATGTCTGTTCCTTTCTAATAGTTTCCAGTCTGAAGATATTCTCTATACAACCCCAAGACACAGAAGGATGCTTGGAATCCCTGGCTGCCTAGGGAGGATCCCTTAAGGCATCCCAAGTAACCATGTGTTATTTTCTCCTTTTAGAATTTATCCCAGCTTCCCTATGGCAAGGCCCTTTACAGCTACGAGGGGAAAGAACCTGGTGACCTCAAGTTCAACAAGGGGGATATCATCATCCTGCGGCGCAAGGTGGATGAGAACTGGTACCATGGAGAGCTGCAGGGCACCCATGGCTTTCTCCCAGCCAGCTACATTCAGTGTGTTCGGCCTTTGCCACAGGCTCCGCCCCAGGGTAAAGCACTTTATGACTTTGAGATGAAGGACAGAGACCAAGACAAAGACTGCCTGACCTTCACCAAGGTAAGGTGAGCCCCACCATCAGAGCCCCACCTCTGTGCCTACCTACAACCCAGGCAAGAACTGATAGCCCAGACAGCCCTTCCTACCACTTTGGGGGCCTAGTTTCCTCCTGGAGACTCTTGGGAAATCACTTAGCCTACCTCTCTGTGTATCTATGAGAAAGAAGGATTTGTCTGCTTCAGGGTATTTTTTATGAAATTGGGTGACGGCGCACCAACGGACACATGGCTCCACCCATTGCTACCCTGGGAGTACGAGATCATATGAGCCTCTTGTAGATTTACAACTGGGCCTGGTACCCCTAGTCATGGTTCACAGCCTCGACTCTAGGACAGGGGAGTAAGTGCCGCCAAGACTCACAGAGCTCACCGGGGAACGGCTACACAGGTCTCATTCATGTCACAGGAATGTCTGGTCCCACGCTGCGTCTGACAGCCCTCCTGCAGGATAACAGAGGTGCCAGGCTAGGCACAGAGAGCCAGTTGAAGTGCCAGGACAGAGGAATTAGTAAATAACCAAACAGTACTTACCTTTGGCACTACCCAGGAGAGCCAGTGAAATGCAGAGGACCTGATTCCTTGCAGTCCTGAAGTTCCTTTTGATGGATATCTGTACCAAGTATTAGACTAGCAGGCTGCATGTCATTTTTGCAATGCTCTGAGGTTCCAAAGGAAGCAATGGGAGCCTTAATTTGTCTACCTTGATTGGTTTCCTTTCCTCCTTTTTCTCCATCTGTTTATCCACTCCTCCCTCGCCATCCCTCATCTCTGAATATGAAACACTTGTAAATAACAGAGCTAGATTTTTTTCCCTCAGTCTCTAATTTTGAGGCCCATGTTTTTCCTAGTTCCTCTGGGCTTTTATTGCTTTCCTTTCCTGTGTCCAGCCCATCCCTCTCTACATCTGCTGGCAAAGCTTGGCTGTGGGCTGCAACTCTGTAGAGAACTGCAGGAGTACCCCGTACAGCATTTTTTGAGCAAAATTGGCATGTCCTGTGCCTGGCTGCTATTTATGTCTTGTTCTATTGTTCATTCTGACAGTGAATAATCTATTTTTCATTCAGAGATCTAACTCTCTCTTTTTTTTCCCCTTCATCAAGGTGTTCAGAAGCTAATTCCCATTGTCATTTACCTGGTGTGGCTTCTCTGGAAGTCTGAACAAGAATTCTCTCCTCCCTCTCTCCATCCTTCTTTCCCTCCTTTCCTTCCTCCTTCTCCTTTCCCTTCCCTCTGTCTGTCTGAGGCCCAGAGTAGTGACTTCCCAGGGTATCTTGCTTAGCCTCTCTATACAATGGCTTCTGGAGACTCTGCTGGAAAAGACCCTCCAGGGGGCCTATGGTGCCCTGTGCTGTCATTTTCTATCTCTTGGGTCTAGTCAGGGCCTTGCTAAGGAAACAGTCCTCAGTATGGCTTCAGGCTCAGCTGACCACAGTGACAGAGACCGCCCACGCCAAGGCCATCCTTCAGTGCCTCACTAGAGAATGGGGAAACCAGACCTGGGAGCTTTCAGACAGGTCTAGTTTCTCTCTGCAAAACAGCCTATCTTGACTGCCACAGTAGCCTGCCTCTTTCTTTTTTTATGTTTTTTTTTATTGTAAAAATAGTGTACAGAGGGGTTACAGTTACATGAGTAAGGTAATGAGTATATTTCCTATGGAACATTGTTACCCCTTCCTTTGTTTTCCCCCTACCATCCCTTCCCTCCGCACCTCCCCAACTCTCCCCCTTCTCTCCCCCACCCCTGCCAAGTTGTAAAGTTCATTTTCATCATAGTGTCTTGTACATCTCATTGCTACAATGGGTCAACCTGTATCCTTGTTTCAGCATTTGTTATTTCCCCTCCCCAAATTAGAAAAAAGTATATATAAGATGCAGGGCACTGACATCAAATACAGTGAAAATGGGGGTAATACCATGGGGGAAAAACATACAAGAAAAACAAAAAAATGCATAGTACATTTTAGAAACATTAAAAACAATAGCAAGAAAGGAAAAAAAGTTGTGTCTATATCTTGGGGTTCATTTCACTTAACATTATCTTATATGGTCATATGTACATAGCTTTTGACCTTTTCTGTTTGTCCTAGATATATACTAGTTATTGCAAATAAGGAAAACCATGGGACCTATGTTTCTTCGGGTCTGGCTTACTTCACTTAATATTCATATGAAACAATAAAAGATCCCAAATAGCAAAAGAACGGTACTGGAGGAATATCAGCACCAAATTTCACACTCTACTACAAAGCCACAGTAATCAAAACAGCTTGGTACTGACACATCTGACCTGAAGACTAATGGGATAGAACTGAAGACCTAGAAATGAACCCAAAGACCTATAGCCTGATCTTTGATAAGGGAGCTAAAAAAATAGAATGGAAGAAAGACAGCCTCTTCAGTGCTGGCAACATAGGTTAATAACCTGTAGAAAACAAAAGCTAGATCCCCATATATCACCCTGCACCAGAATCAACTCCAAATGGATCAAAGACCTCGATATCAAAGCAGACACCCTGGAAACATCACAGGAAGGAATAAGAGAAACTCTAGGGATCCTTGGCACAGGCCAAAATTTTCTTAATCGAGACCCAGAAGCACAGAATAAGTGTAAGGCTGCAAGCTTCCCTACCTACTGTACTGATCTACCTGCATCTCTTCTTAAAGTTTCCCTACTCAAGCTCTAAGGAACATGACTGTTTCCCATGTCTCTGCTTGGCTCCATGTCTGTTTTCCTGGCAAGACTGGACAATGCCTATAACATGACTGAGATGCACATGGCCATTGTCCCAATGGTCTCTATCTACCTCACATCCCAGGTAATCTAATGTCACTTGTGCATCAGTATCCCTGGCTTTTGCCAGCTGGCTTTACCTCTGAGGACCATGTTTGCCATTTGGGTTTTATTCTATTCTGATGCCTGAAAGGACACATGAGTCTGTATAAACGCAGGACAGTGCCATCATAGTGACATTGGTGGCATTTAAAGAATCATGAGGCAGGTGGATCAAAGCTAGACTTTTATTTTCATTGTTGGGTTTTGAATAGTCCCATTAAAAGTCACTTAAAACCCAGTCTTTGTTTTATTTAAGAGGAGAATGAATGTTACCTTTTGAAAAGTGGCTTTAAAACACATATTTTATAACTTCTCAGTATTGCCACTCCTAAAAAAACTAAGAATGCACAAATCCAAAGACTAAGGACAAGAAGCATGCCCTAGCCCTGCCAAAAGATCTAAGGAGCTCTCTCTAGCTCTGTACCTGGGCCTTCTGAGTCTATAGGCAAGCTAGGCTTGATGAAGAGGTGTCTTGTGCAGATATGGGCCTGAGGATTGTCTATGCGGCTTTAGAAAGACACTTCACCAGAGCAGTTCATCTTCTGATTAGGAACCCAGGGCTCACACTGTGAGTATGATGACTGTATAATCTAAGTGAAGAGCTGAGCTTAGAGTATGACATATGATCTCTCAAGGTGAGCTCCATTTGCATTTTGATAGTTTACCCCTCATTCTATTTCTATGTGACTCTGGAACCCAGAAAATGTTTCCTGAGCCCCTATTATTCAGTAAGTTTAATTCATGAAGATATTGACATCACTGTGCTAGGGAATTGCATTTGCTCACCCTTGTGACTTCATGCTGCAATGGCCAAGACTCCTCAAAGGCCACAAGCTCTTCTCAGGCATGCCTGGGCTGAGCACAGAATCACCATTGTACAACTGGACTGCAGTCAGCCTTGAGGCTTGCCATGTCTACTTGGATTCTCCTTGCCAGGAGGAGGCAGCACTGGATGTGATAGATGCAGCTCCTGTTGTGTTCTAACTCTCACCTCATGCCCCCTTTGCCCATTCCCAACCCACTAGGGCCAAGAATCCCTTTTTAAGCACTATCATGATAAGTTCTGACCCACTCAAACTTACATTCTGCTGATGTATTTGTAAGATCTTCCATGTGACCAGCTTAAGGTCACATGCTAAAAATGATCATTTCTTAAATGCCCGGAACTCTCTTCTTTATGAATCAACCCATCATGGTCCTAGACAATGCTCTTCTCACCCAAAAGATAGACATAAATCAGCGAAAATCAAATGCAATTTGAACTCTAGAGTCAGACAAGGATTCAAATCACTTTTGTTTTGGGAAACATTTTGTTAGTCTTTGAGACTCTTCTTACTATAAAATGGAGCTGATATTGGAATTGTTGAGCAAAGGTGTGTGGGAATGAAGAACAAAGCAACTATTTCCATGCATGTTTTTGCTCTCTATCCTTGCCTTTCTTTCCAGTTGAAGAGAAGTACTATTTCTTCCCTTAGATTACCTAGAGTGCTCATGAAAATAAAACATCTCCCTGTGGTGAATATGTATGGAAAGCTGAGAATTTTCAGACTGATTCTGTTGCCCCTTGACTTCTTGATGGCCAATGCTTGGAGAGGTTTGCCTGGGGTATAAAGTGGCCAGCCCCTATATCGAGACTACAGCCAGCCATCTGGGCCACCTTGTCTTGTCATCCTCCTCTGGAGTAGGAATCTGAATGATTTCCCCTGGAGAGATTCAGGAACTTTGGCAGTGGCCCAAATCAGCATGAGTCTGAGGGGAGCCAGAGGTTCCCAATCATTCTCCTGAGCATCCTGCCCAGCTACTTACCTAAAATGTTATTAGGGACACTGAGGAGGTGTAGTTCTCCTTTATTTAATAGTAAGTTTTTTATTGTAAAAATACTGTACAGAGGGGGTTACAGTTACATGAGCAAGGTAATGAGTACATTTCTGATCAAGCTGTGTTGCCTCCTCCTTTGTTCTTTGTTTCCCCTTACCATCCCTGCCCTCCCACCTCCACAACTACAGCCCCCACTCCCCCGTGCCTAAATTGTAAAGTTCATTTTTCAACATAGTGTCTTGTACAGCTCATTGTTACAATGGGTCAACCTGTATCCCTATTTAAACATTTTGCTTTTCCCTTCCCCTCCCCAAATTAGACCGTTACCAAATACAGTGAAAACAGGGGTT